TTCATAGTGCCACTAATTTTGTGTCGTAGTATAAATAATAAAGTTAAAAATAATAATAATTAAATTTAAAAGTTTCTCCGTTATCAAAAAAAAAAAAGAGAGAAACATTTAGTTGGGTCACAAAAGAAAAATAATTGTTTCACTTTCAAAAAGAAAAGAAAAATAATTTCATAATTTACTTGATTAAAAGAACACAAAGTAAGATGTACAGTTCCGTTTAGTTCGCTGATTCGAGTTTTTAATTCGAGTTGAGATGTGATTTTATGTGAGAACTTTTTACTATAGCAAAAAAGTTAGATGTGATTGTTTGTTAGAGCTTTTTACTGTAGCAAAACTCGAATCAGCGAAATGAACGGGGCTATTTCTAATCGACATTCTTCTTAATTTATCTCATTCGTTGCATGATCGATACACATTTGGATAAATAATTAGTATTTAATGATTCTGTAACGACACTTAAATAGATAGAAAATAAAACGACTTATTTTTTCATTCATATGTAACAAATTTTTAATAAATATATTGTTGTAACTTCGTGCTAATGTAACAATTTAATCACGATGCCAAATTAATCACAAATTACGTGGGTACTAATTGGTCTCATGTAAATATTATTTAACATCAATGTGCCGTTTCTTAGATTTTCATTTGGATTGGCTCTTTAATATTTTATTCACACATTACAATTGGACCGATTAACCTTAGCATATAATATCAAATAAATGAATGCTATATGTCCTTATGTACTATTTTTTATAATTTCAAGAAAAAAAAAAGCCATCAGATGATAATCATCACCGTACATCATGCATACCTGCACAAAAAAAAAGTCATATTTCACGGATTTATCTCGTGGTTCCTCTTGCACTGTTTAAAATTGTCGAATTTCCGGTGATTTATATATAATATAACCTGCTTAATCCTAGATATAACATTCAGTAACATAAAAATTAAATTATTTGTACTGAAAATTCTCTTGCAAGATATAAGAGACTAGAGAGTATACTTTCTCAAATGGTGTTTAAAAATTCAGGAGAAAATTGTTGAATTTACTCTTAAAGTATATGAGTCTGAATTTTTATCTTTACTCTATCGATTTATCATTTTAACTAGTATAATTATTTAACTAAAACGGATATTAATTATGAGTAAAAGGTAAAGATTTAGACTCATACATTAAGTGATATTTGTCTCTTTTTCTCAAAATTTAATTAAAGATAATGCCTAATCCTATTTTTAATTTAGAGTAGGTGATGCACAAGGGCTGCTCAACTGTAATTTTAATTAGCAACAAAACAAACGATGACTTGTTAATTTCATGGGGCTGCTAAACTTTAATTTTGTGCCAAAAATAGGTGTTTTGGTAAACCAATATTTATGCCACCTATAGTGAACAATTTATTGCTGCACCATTTAATTAAGCTATTGAGTTTTTTTTTTTTTCAATTTTTATATGTATTTTTTTGCTCAAAAAGCTATGGGAATTAAATTAAAGAGATAAGGCCTTCTAGTACATAAGGCTTGAGACTCCAATAGGGGAACAATTATAGTTCTGTTTCTTGATGTCATTTTTTGCACAACTCACTAATCACACTCAAATAATCAAGTCACAATTTTGGGAAACACATGAATGTGGGGATTAGATTGAATTATCTTCAACAAAATGCTAAGGGAAAAAATAGGAAAAAAGATCATTTCATAGGGGAATTGAATTTATCTACCAAAATGAATGGTTGGCTCTACAGAAAGTGGGCGTCTAATGAATGGACAATTGAAATGGATGTACACCGTTTTTACTCGCCAAGGACATTTTCCAATAATGATAATTTTGTCCCATATAGAAAAAATTAATTTTAAGGGAGAAAAAAGAGAGGGGGGAGATAATACATACTGGATTACTAAATAAGGAATTTCCTTAATGGATTAGCTTAATTTGCAGCAAAATAGAGGAGTTAATACACCAGTTTCTTAATCAAATTACCCCTTGTTTGTAAACTTGGATTATCTATTCAGTTTTCAGTGTCTCAAATGGTGTCTAATCAATTACATTTTGTCATATGGCAAGTCAATTAAATAACATTTCAAAATTTTAGATGATATGACATAAGTGATTTGAAAAATTCAATCACATTCCATCTGATCTACAAATATTCCCCAGAAAATGTTTTTCTCTAAGTATCGAAGATTCTTTGTGGAGCCTGTTTTGTCTATGATAATAGAACAAGGAAAAAAGAAGAAGAAGGTATTGGCATAACTTAGAGTGGAAATATAGCATTTGCTTAAGATATAGATGCTAACCTTTAGTATGAGTTGACTATATATATTTGATTAAGTTATTTAATGTTATACCCCCTTTCTATTGTTTATGAAAATGACTTCCTCCCATAATTGAAAACTTGATGACTTTAGTAGTGTTTGTATTATTATTATTTTAATTTACGTGACAATTAATTGATTAGATAAACTTACCACATAGGAGATGTTTGGTAAATAACTTCTTATAGCTAGAGGATATATATATATATATATATATTTTTTTTTTGATATAAAGGGAAAGAGGAATGTCACTACATTTAAATGGGGTTTAAAATAACTCGAATCCTTAATTTATAATTAAGGTGAAGGGACTTACAATCAACTAAGCTGTCCTCATTTATCAAAGAATATATTCTTTTAAAGCAATATGATCACTCTTTCTTTTTTCCATTTTATTTTTCATTTCAATATAAGAATTTGTCAAATAAAATTGCTTCTCAAATCAAAAGTGGAGAAGTGGATGACTAATGACAAGAAATTAATCTGTACTACATATTAAAAATAGAGGCAAAGTGAGATGCTATGTGTAAAGAGTAATACTCAGAATAATAAAGCTTTTTTTTTTTTTTTTTCTCTCCTTTTAAGATTCCAATCACCAAGAAGTGTACCAGTTAATTGCTATTGTAATTGACAGACGGTTATTTATTTTATATTGATTGTCATGTATCGTTAATTGAAAAATAATACGTGAATTGCCTACTTATTCGGCAGCCAATGTTTAATAAACAACTTTGCACTATTAGAACAACTACACACTTAGTCGTTGATCATTATGGAAAATGATTGTATAATGTTATCGATTAAGTGGAAAATGATGCATGAACTGCTTAATTATTTGGCAGTCAGTGTTTAGTAAGCAGGTTAGTACTCTTAACGATTATAATTAGTTATTGTTAATCGGTACACTCTGCTCTCTCGCGACCCCTACAATATACAAAATATGAGTAATACTATCGAATACCGATATTAATTTGTTGTATCTTCTTCCTTTCTTTCCTTTTTTTTTTTTTAAGGAAAGAACTGAATTTAATTAAGGTATTTTCTTTTCTTTTTAAAAGATATTTCTTATGTTCAGATTAAAAAGAAAACGAGCACACTCAATCTACAAGGAAACTGACTGAATTTAGCATTTCATTTTGAAACATACAAATGTTGTTCATAAGAACTGAATTCGATAGTTTATTACTCTAAAGATATCCATTGAGCATATGAGGCTTGTTTTGAGTTTACAGGTTTGACCATATTGTACCTTAAACTAAGGGTTTGACATAATTTTTTACAGGTTAGTGAAAAATTACCGTGGATCATTCTAGTCTTCATCCGAACTTAACTGAACAAGAAATAAGTTGTGTTTGCGTCGACGCGTGTTAAAAATGTAACTATCTAAACTAACTCTTTTGATTTTAACAAAATTAACTTATTATTCTAAACTTTGAAAGAAAAAACAAGAAAGAAAAATCACATAATTAAGAGTTACAAAGAGCGATCACATTAAGAACACGTATATTTGAGACGAAATAGTATGACAGATCTATATATACTTTATATCTAATAAAAATCAATAATCAAGATAACTCCTTAAAGAAAAAGGTTTTACTGCATAAACATGTTATGCACAGTTTTTTTTTCATTAATTTAGTTCATGCTATTTAGTTCTAAAAAAAAAAAAAAAATCATGCTATCAGGTATACATTTAGGGGATGTTTGGTTAGAAGATTTAAATCATGATTTGAATCATAGTTCATAATTCGCTACAGTATTTTCTCTCAAAAAAAATATACATAAATCAAAAATAATTCTAATCACATGATTCTAATCCATAAATCAAACATCTCCTTAACTAAATTAAATGAATATTGCGTTAAATGACGCAGCCACACTAGTCCCTACTTCATCTTTAAAATTTTAACTTTTATTCTTAGTTTTTTGTTCTATTTTTTTTAAATTATCACCGTACATTCACATAATATTTAAAATACCCAATTATTTTCTCATTTAATAAAAAATATCTCCAATTTTTTCGTAGTACCTTCAACTTTTTTTTTTCCTGGGGCTCCGATATTTAAATTATCAATATGGAAAACAAAATCTAGAAGTTTCAATTAATCGAATACCTTCAAGGCATAAAAAGTCTAAACTTAAAGGCAAACTTCTGACTACTTGGCCTTAAAAAATAAAAGTAAGGGGAAAAAAATTTAAAAATAGAAGTCTAGAAGTTTCCGAATATAGTGATCTTTTCTATTTTTTCTTCTTTTAATTAACAATTCGAGATTTTTCACTGCCCTTTTTTAACCTCAAAGGAGAAAAATCTTTGCGTATCACGCCTCCATCGCCTTCTCTAGACCACGAACGTGTAAAATTACCAAAAAGGAAAATCACCGTGGTTTATACTTCACACACAGCACTGTCACCATATTTATCACAACAATCGCTAAATGCGCCAAGTGTTTGTAAATTTCCACGTGGCACGGAAAGAGTAATTCCTGGATAAATTTGATTGTACCGTGATAATCCAAAAGGACAGTGCTGTGCACTTAAAAACTCCCCCCCCAATAAACTTTTTCAACCGTACTGGGGAAAAACCGATAGAGTTCCTCCTAGGATTTTAACCTAATCACGGTTAAGTGTTAACCCAACTACGGTTAAGCCCTTCCACATCCTCAAGCAGTTTATATAAGAACGAGACGTTGCCGGGGTTTCTGTAAACAAACCTCACTCAGAAAGCCAAAAAACAAAAAAATGATGCTCGGTGAACCCCATCGCCCAAATCCGACCGTCCACGTGCCTCCCTGGACCCTAACCCTAGAAGATCCTACGGCTGAGATTTACTCGCCATTTCCTCTGAGCGGTGTCTCCGTCAACAGCTCTGATTCCAATGGCAACTCCGGTGAGTACTCTCCCTACTACCTCCACGAAGCACTAACGGCTCTGAGTCCGTACATGGCCGGAGACGCTGACGCCGATTCTGACTCGGAGATTTCCGGCCGCGAGTCCGACTCGCCGGTCGACGCGTACTCGTGCGATCACTTCAGGATGTTCGAGTTCAAGGTTCGGCGGTGCGCGAGGGGAAGATCACACGACTGGACGGAGTGTCCGTACGCTCATCCAGGCGAGAAGGCTCGCCGAAGGGATCCGAGGAAGTACCACTACTCCGGCACGGCTTGTCCGGATTTTCGAAAAGGCCATTGCAAGAAAGGCGATTCCTGCGAGTTCGCTCACGGAGTGTTCGAGTGCTGGCTCCATCCGGCTCGGTACCGGACTCAGCCGTGCAAAGACGGGACGAGCTGCCGACGCCGCGTTTGCTTCTTCGCTCACACGCCCGACCAGCTTCGGGTTCTGCCCCCTCAGCAGAGCCCTAAGGGCTCCAACTCCGTCGATTCCTACGACGGATCGCCTCTCCGCCAGGGGAAGACGCTGCCGTTCTTCTCGTCTTTCTCCCCGACGTCGATCTCGCCACCCACCAGTCCTCCGGCGGAGTCTCCGCCGATGTCTCCGATGACTCAGGTCCTAAGCCGCTCTCTCGGCTCGAGCTCCGTTAACGAAATGGTGGCTTCGCTGAGGAATCTTCAGCTCGGAAAGGTAAAGTCTCTTCCTTCTTGCTGGAACAACACTCAGAAGGGCTCTCCTGTGTTCGGATCGCCCCGTGGGTCGATGCTTCGACCCGGATTCTCTAGCCTCCCCACAACTCCAACTAGGGCTCCGACGGCCCGACCCGGCTTTATGGATTTCTACGATTTGGGCTGCGAGGAGGAGCCCGCCATGGAAAGGGTCGAGTCCGGAAGGGACCTTAGGGCGAAAATGCTTCAGAAGCTCAGCAAAGAGAACTCTCTGGGCCGGGTCAACCCGAATCTGTCTTCAGGTGGTGCTCCTGATGTCGGGTGGGTCTCCGAGCTGGTCAAGTGAAGGAATCAAATAAAGAAAAAAAGAAGAAAAATTGCTTCGAATTTCAAAATTATATTTTGGGGGTTCATTTTGGTGGTGGTTTCTTTTGTTAGTTTTTGGGATTTTGCTTCCTTTCTCTCTTTATCTCTCGCTGTGGATATTATCAGGAAATAGAGGGATTAAGAGTGAACTGGAATTGGATTTTGGAAGCAAAAAAAAAAAAAAAAAAGGCAGGTTGAAAGATTCTGCTTGTAAATACTTTTGAAATTATTATTATCATCAAGTAAGGTGGTATGCGTGGGTGAAGAGTAGAATCATCTCTGTTTTGGGGAATTTCCTTAGAAGAATTTAGATTGATAAGTAAAAGGGAAAAATGGGAACTTTTTTTTTTTTTTTTTCCTTTTTTGGTGGCTTGTATAGTTTATTAAGCGGACAGTGAATCGGTGATCCATTTTCAATTCCCACTTCCCTTTTGCTTGTTTATTTATGTTAATTATTGTATTTAATCACCACTATCTCACTTTTGCTAATCTTTATCATCATTGTAAAAAAATTTTATATCCTTGTAATGATCTTATCCTGTTGGAACCTATCATCAATGTATTGTACATGTTTATTCAACTTCTCTCTGCATTTTGATTTATGCTTCAAGTTTTATAGTATTTTTGGTTTTTTTTAATTTATGAAATGTGCTATTTTATCTTTTAATAATCTAAAAACGTTTGTTTAGGTGAAGATATATGATCTTGATGATGACCATCAGAGCACGTTTGGAGTAGACTATAAATAGTCAAACATCAGTGGGATGTCCGTGTAAATAGGGACAGGTTATAAATAGATATCTATTATTTTCTTTACATTATTATGCTGGCTTTATTACTGGTATTATTATTTTCTGGTTTGCAAATTGGTGGATGGTATTGGTCGTAGAAAAAATGAAAATCGTTAGATTTTTGTTTTCTGTTGCATTTGCATATTTGCATTAGAAACTGTTTGTTTATTTTTTAATTCGGTTTTTGATCAATTTTCAATCAGAAAAATACAATTTCGGTGGTTTTCAATCATCCCTTTGGACGGAGTATAGAAAAATGGAGAGAATTCCATACACATGATCCATACAAGCTCTCAACATCTTTGTGGGGGCAGCTTTGGATCGGAGAGAAAAGGAAATATCTCTGAGACACTGACAAAAGGAAAAAATGTTTTTAAAGAGTACTATAGAAGTTGGATAGAATCAAGGGAAAAGAAAATCTCTCTTCTTCTCTCTCTTTCGACTTTTTTGCTCTTTTATTTAATTTTTCGGGTCAAGAAAGAAAATTTTTCAGTCACAATGAAGGTAATTGTTGGAAGTAATGGACCCGTTGGATTTTTTCAACTTTTACTTATTCTTCCCCCTTTAACCCTTCTTACACGCAAATACTGTTCAGATATGAGAGCATGGGCCAACTTTACTCCTAAATTGGGCTTTGTTTGGGTGTGTAGTGAAGTTCGGGGTGAATAGAAATCTCAACCGCTCGATCGTTGAAGTCTCGATCATCTTTTTGATTTGGACATCCATCAGTCGAGACGACTAATGAATAATGAATTTCACTATTTATGAATAATAAATTAGAGTGTGGTCCTGTGGTGAGACTTATTGGGAGTATATTTGTTGGTTGAATTTATTAATTTGAGTTTTTAATTTAATTTGAGATGTGATTTTATGTGATAATTTTTAATTATAATAAAAAAATTAAAAGTAATTTTTTATGAGAATTTTTAATTATAATAAAATTAAAATTAAAAATTTGAATGGATAAAATAAACAAGATCTTTTAAAATTGTGATTTATTTTTGTTTTGCTTCCTAATGAAGCGTTGAACTTCTTATATATATATGAAGTTTTTTTAAGTCTGGCAGCTTGATTAATCCGGTAAATGAAAAAAAAAATTTCTTCATATTTTCGTGTAAAATCAATAAGGTCTCATTCATTTATATATATAAAACTCCGTTTGCTTAAGAGTAATATTTAAAATAATATAATCTAACACATGTAATATTAAGTGTAACATTCAAATAACCGAATGTAACATACGTGTGAATGATATTTACGTAGGAATTATAAAGAAAGTTACATTTGCTGGACTGTACAAATACCAGACTCATATAAGATAAGTCCTAAATTCGACGGTCGTCCGAATACAATAAGTGTAACTTTTTCATATGCAAGTATAATTTTTTGGTCTACTTATGTAACATTCCATGTTACCACAAAAAAAAAATTTACACAAACATTACGGATGCAGAACTTAAAAAATTTCCTGTGTATAGGATTGAAAATTCCCGAGATCCATTTGGAAGCTGCACAAATAACGTTGCTCTTATCATCTCACACCACCGCCCTAATGCAAGAAAAATAAGAAAAGAAAATTTCCTTCACAGCCGCATCAATATTTATGGTCCCGTTTATTTCACCGATTCGAGTTTTGCTATAGTAAAAAGCTCTCAGAAACAATCACATCTAACTTTTTTACTACGGTAAAAAATTCACATAAAGTCACATATCAATTCGTATAAAAAACTCGAATCAGTGGACTTTTTTAGTCGCCGAAATTTTTAATTTATTTACGTGGTCTTGGCCATGACACAAAAAAATCTCTCAACAACCTCTGTGCCTTTACTATCGTTTCGAAGTAATCTTTGTCACTCGTTTTCATAGACCATTTTATTGCGATCAATCTAAAAGCTAAAGTAAGAATACAAAACATCTCAACTTCTCCATCTTTGCATTTGTACGCTACATACAAAGCACAAATCACAAAAAGGACCACGAAGATTGAAGAATAGACCATAAAGCACAGGAACAATACCACAAAGCACGCCTTGTGTCATCGGACTCTTGACCGAATGTAGATCTTAACCTTACAAGGGCTCCTCGCTGCCAGCTTCTTCGACCAAACCCAGTCCATCCAAATCATTCTTTGTGTTTAGTCAAAATTCGACTTTTGCCCTTTTATTATTTACTTTGAATAGCCAATAAATCCGACACAAGAAGGTTTTCCTCTTTTCTACGTGGACTAGTGATAGATTTAAAGAGATTAGGTTTAGAAAGTCGATGATCCTTAAAAAATCCTAACCCGATGTCGTAACCAATCTTTTCTTCTAAGTCTCGATACCACTCAATGCTTCGCCAAATATACGAAGAATTATTCCAACGTCTCTCTCTCCTCAAGAAACTCCAAAATTTGGGGAATGTGTTTAGCTTGTAGTTAAATAAAAAAAAAAAAAGAAAAATTCCAGTGCCATAACCTACTTTTTTTGAGGAATTATTCAGTACACTAGCCGTACCACGTCATATACACTCATTCAATGAGATTGTATCATTTAGACATTTTGTTGTGTTAGCTTTTTACTTTTATTTTTTTCTTTTTTAATAGGTATTCAATGCAAATACCTATTAAGAAAGAGAAAAATAAAAGTGAAAAGTTGATATAGACAAAATGTCTAAATAATATAATCTTATTGAACGTGTGTATCGCATAAATAATACAACGTAGTACACCTGATTAATTGAATAATTCATTCTTTTTTGATAACCACTCACACCGCCAAATTTAAGCTTGATACGCAAAATGGCGTACTTTTTTTTTGTTTTTTGTTTTTTTTTTTTTTCCGGGTGTCAAATAGTTATACTGTATATTTCATGTTCTCTCTCTTATACATTGCAGATGTAATTTGAAACATCACTGGTCCCATTTCTGGGATATTCCAAACTAGTTTCTTGGATATCCTCAATCCATTAATTTCTCTGGGTTTCACTTATACTATCTCTTTCAGGACCACCAATATATTTTACATTTTTTTTTTACTTGTTTTCGCTCTTTTAAGTTATTTTTCTGCTTCTAAAATTTCACTACAAGAATTTTAATTTTTTACTACCAAAGAATTGGTAGTAAAAACCTTTGATTTGGTAACAAAAGTTTTTCGCTACTAAAAATTTGTAGTAGCTATAAGCAAAAGGTTTTTGCTACCAAAAACATTTTGATAGTAAAAGTTTATGCTATCAACTTTTAGTAGCTAATATTGAACGGCTTGGTCTCAAAAAATGGACCCCAGATGGTTAGTTAGCTATTAAATTTTAGTAGCGGAAATGTTTTGGTACCAAAGAGTGAAGAATCTGTTACCAAATATTTAGTAGCGAAATGTTTTTACTACTAAAATTTTTAGTAGCGGAAAAATTTAGCTATAAAAAAAATTAGTAGCTAATACACATTTAATAGCAAAAAGTGAAGAATGTGCTACTTAATATTTAGTAACGGAACGTTTTTACTACTAAAAATGTTAGTAGGGAAAAGCTTTAGCTACCTAAAAAATATTGGTAACGAATACACATTTAGTAGCGAAAGATGTGAAAATCCGCTACAAACACTTTAGTAGCAGAAGTTATTTACAACCAAATATTTCAGTAGCGAAGACCTATTACTATCGGAATATTTGGTAGCAAGAATTTTTGATAGACTATATTCTGACAGGAGTCACTTTGATAGCAAAATAATTTTACTACCAATAGTTTTGATAGTAAAAAATATTTCACCTATTTTTTTAATTTTCAAAAAGTGACGTATTTGGTCACAAAACCTATAACTTTCACGAATTTATACATTAAAAATACTAAAAATAATAAATAAAACAAACAAAATTTCTCATATATTAATAGTTCCAAATCCCTTAAAATACATAATAATCTTCCAATAGTTATACTTAGAGAGATTCTATGTATAGCAATGGCAGTCTTACAAAATAAAATTAAAAAAATAGTGAAACAATAGTTTCTTAAGGAGAAATTACAAGTAATTAACCAAAATCAGCTTATAGAATAATTCTTGTTTCTCCTTGCTCGTTCTTGTTCATAAGCTTGCCTTTTGCCATCTTGTTTAGTAGCCTAACGATTGCCTCAAAGCAACAAGTGTTCGATTTACAATATACAAGCTTGTTTCTGCAAAAAATTGTGACAAAAGCAAACAAAATCCAGTCATGAAGAAAACTACCTAAAACTGAGCTTTCTTCCACTATTTTGGGAATGGTAAAGGCCAAAAATGTTGCGTACGTCAGTATATTTACCTTTAATCCAGAGATAGCACAACAATATATTAAGAAGAAAAATCAAGACCCGACCCATTTTCATTTTCGCGCCATATTTTTTGTTACCAAAAAATTTTTTTAGTAGCGGAATCGTCACTTTTTACTACTAAATTTAGTAGCAGAAACTAGTCAATATTTTACTATCAAAATTTAGTCTCTCAAAAGTATTTTTTTGCTCCCCAAAAAATTTTGGTAGCAAAAAATAAAAAATTCTTGTATTGAATTTGTTTCTGTCGTAAATTGTAAACTCACTTTACTTGTTTCATTTTGGTATGGTGATGTGATGTACTAGGTATGTGCTTCCATATTATATTGTTGAACTGCAACCTTAGAATTCCGAAACTTTTTATCCTACTTAATTAATACCAAAATGAAAACCCATCTTGTACGAAAGACGACGGAATGAGCAAAGTTAATATGCCCATAATATCATCTGATCATGTCTTCAAAATATATATTTTTCTTAAAAGG